ATAACGCTAACATTTTTAGGTATTTAAAACAACATGCCTGGCAGCGTACACAATTCCGGAAAATCCTCGTTGAAAACACAACTATACTTAAACATGAAAACAATAAACAAAAACTAAAAATTCTTGAAGCTATGTACATAAAACAGTTTAAACCTAACCTGAACAAAATAAACTATGAAAATACCACAAATATTCTTAAATACCTATATTTGATAACAGAACCTTTTGGTTTATACCAATGGCTTCCCATACTTAATACTTCTCGATTTGAAACTCGCGTGGTCATGTGTGACGTCACGAGCTGAGATGTTATTTTCGCTTCTGCGTCTCGTATACACGAGTTTGTTGTTGCTTTGAAATTTTTCATGCACCAAAAACAGACTATCATTATTGTTTCGTCCGTGTATTGGTTGATATATTGAAATGTAATTGTCATCTTTGATAATGGCTTATGTAACCCGAAAGCTTAGATAGGATTAAAACATGTATCAATACGGTGATTTCCTTTCGTCTTTCAATGATTATGTTAAGCTTATCAGACAATATGAAACGAACTTACTTAAAATAATTTGACATAACTAGTATATTTTATTTAATGTCACGTGCATCTCTCTCTCTCTCTCTATATATATATATATATATATATATATATATATATATATATATAAAATTCATAGATTTTAATTTATTTATGCAAGAGATTTTATCAAATGTTATTTTCAGTGGATATCCATATTTGAGTAGACGGTCCGTTTATTTATTAAACAGTATTTTCGTCTACCAGCCTGAATATTCAAGAAAGCGCATATTTTCTTTAATAAGAGTCTCGAAAATTAATAAATATATTGTTTAATGGTATGACTTATCTTGGTATTAATAGTGAAGCGGTTTCCCGTTGATTTATTGAAACACCGCATCTAGTTAGTTGGTCATTGACTCATCGAGAGTTCTGTCATTTGTTATGCCTTATTTTTCGTGTTACTGGGTTGCTAACAACCCACCTCACTCGCAGGAACATGGAGTGAGGTACCCAGTTTAGTTGGCGACATTCCGACAGTGGAATACTTACCGATATATATATATATATATATATATATATATATATATGTGTGTGTGTGTGTGTATGTGTGCACCCCCTACATACATGTATACATAAATAATAATTAAGTTTTAACTTAGTTTAAGTCCGAATAGCCACTTTTAACTGCGTTCTTATAGTCCCTAGTCAGTCTCCACCAAATATATATATATATATATATATATATATATATATATATATATATATATATATATATGTAAGCAAATATATGGATATAGATCCGACATATGAAGAAAAATATACAGAAAAAATAAACAAAAATCTTAATATGCAATTATGCTGTATTAATGTTAATATAAAATCGACGTCGGACGCATCGGTCTGTTTTAGACCATCTTCATGGACATTTTCATTTAAACATAATTAACATTAGAACATATAACAATTCAACACGAAAAGACGATGGACATAAGAGCACAACTAATCCAAACAGATAACTGAAATTTTTATATAAGATCAGCGTTCCGTTTAAATATGATCACGTCGTCGTCACGTGGGCGATGTTGTGAAAACGTATTCGAAGATGATTTCCAAATATCAAAATATTAAAAAAGTCAATTGAACTATTTTATATAAACAGTTCAATATTTATATTTTTGAATATTGAATTTTTATATGTTCTAATGTTAATTATGTTTAAATGAAAATGTCCTGAAGATGGTCTTAAATAGTCCGAAACGTCGACTTTATATTAACATTAATACAGCATAATTGCATATTAAGATTTTTGTTTGTTTTTTCTGTATATTTTTCTTCATATATATATATACCTTTTTGGCGTTGCTGAAAATGGTTTCATTTGAAGAATTGTGGGTGTTTGATTGTGGGATCTGCTTGATTGTTGGCGAGTGGTTGGAAGAGGTTTATATGTAAAGTGGTTTGTCTTTCCTATATGACTGATATATAACCTTTGGTTTGGGTGAGTGTGATGTCTGGGAAATCTATTTTTAGGTTTGTTTTTATGTATTCTTCATTATATATATATATATATATATATATATATATATATATATATATATATATATATATACAAATGATACAAAAATATGTATATATTGTATATACATACCTCCAAAAATTTACAAATAGTGCATACCATGACAAAAAACGCCCCAAACTTGATACAAATAAAGTTTTATCGTCAAAATGTTATTATTAAGAGGAAAAAAAAAAAACTATTCTTTTATTATCTTATTAAGTTTTTTAATCTTTTCAAGCACATTCGAAATGTTGGTTAAAAATGTGTTTTTATGGCGTTAGTGGGTGGATCAAAGATTAGTATTAAGAAATTTACTGTAAAAAATATTGTTTCGGAAATTCTTGTAAAAATCAAATAATTATCGGATTTTAATGAACTTTTCATGACTTATTTACACATGAATTAATTTTATATATATATAAATATATATATATATATCACACCACAAACTCGCTTTCACGACGCTTGACACTACATTTTAATGAAAACATTTTTAGGCATTTAAAACAACATACCTGCCCGCACACAAAATTCCGTAAAATACTTGTCGAAAACACAACTATACTTCGACATGAAAACAATAGACAAAAACTAAAAATACTTGAAGCATTATACATCAAACAGTTAAAACCCAACCTAAACAAAATCAATTATGGCATGTCTACAAATATACTTAAATGTCTATAATTTCTATAATTGGTAACAGAAGCCATTGGTTTATACCAACGGCTTTCCTTATTTCATTCTACAATTCACTCTCGTGTAGTCATCTGTGACGTCATGAGATGCGGTGCGATTTTCGCTTCTAGCGTCTTATATGCGCGTGTTTATCGTTGCTTAGTGATCCACTATGTAAACAATGACAGACTATCATCACTGTCGTGTCCGTATATTGTTTAATATGTTTGTGATTTAGATCTTTGATAATGGCTTAAGTAAGCCGAAAGCTTAGATTATATTAAAAATAATGGATAAATATTGTGAATTTCTTTTTTCGTTTAATGATAATGTTATCAAACTTATCAGAAGATACGAAAAAAATTTACATAAAATAAATAGACAACACTTGTCTATATTATTTAATGAAACGTGAATAAATATATATATATATATATATATATATATATATATATATATATATCATATATATACGTTCAATGGTAGGAAAACATTGGAGAAAAAAAAATCAAAAATATATTAAATTAAAACAAACATTACATTCGACAGTGATTGGATTCGACCATTTCAAGACCGACCTCTTCTTATGAGGGAGGTTGGAAAGGAAACTACAATACATCCTCGGGAAGACATTCAAAGGAAAGCGAGAAGAAGGGACTGAGCATAAATCACAAGAAAACAAAATGCATGGTCATCAACAAAAAGATCAAAATGTAAATTGCAGGTCGCGGATACAAGTACAGTAATTTAGTTTTAACAGAGGACGGAAAGTACGACACTGAGATCCGAAGACGTATTGAGATGACCAAAGACGCATTCCAAAAGCTAAGCAGAGTATTAAGAGACAGGAAAATTTTGTTGGAAATAAAAGCAAATACTGAACTGTTACGTGATATCTGTATTCCTGTATGGCAGTGAATGTATGACAATCTCCTCCAAAATGAAGCAACACAAATGCGGTTCTACAGAAAGATGCTGAGGATACCATGAGCCGCGAACATATGAGCAACGACGAGGTTTTGGAGAGAATGGAAACAAAGAGGAAACTTATACTTAACATCAGGAAGGGCACCTCGACATAGTGTATTGGTTAGTAAGCTTGTCTCGCTAGAACAATTACGACTAAGTAGTGAGTTCGATCCTCACTAGGTGCCCCATACTTTCGGCCTTGTGCCACATCTAAGTTACGCTTAGAAAATCTTAAGGCACCTCGGCGTAGTGTAATGGTTAGCAAGCTTGTCACGCTAAAATAGTTACGACTGAATAGTGAGTTCGATCCTCACTGGGTGCCCCATACTTTCGGCCTTGCGCCATATCTAAGCTACACTTAGAAAATCAATATACTTAACATCAGGAAGAGGCAGTTGAAATTTCTGGGATAAGTGAGGAAGGAGGGCTTGGAAAATCTGATACTCACAGGACGGATAGAGGAAAATAGAGACAGGGAAGAGCAACGCATGACTTAATGGACTTGAGCATATGAATGATAGAACAGGATCTGGGAAAATAACAAAAATACAAACATCTTAAAAGCTACAAGGGTCAGGAGGAGGTGGAGGGCCATGATCGTCTACGGCACATAAAAGAAGAAGATAGTGTTTAATAAACACACGAAGCGTCTACTCAAATACGTCTACTGAAATTGAAATCCGCTCGACAATTCCACTTTCTGGAAAGATGTCTTTTACGCTCTATGTCCATTATATTATTATTAGTGAATAATTGGTATATACTCTCTCGAGAAAGGTCAAGACCACCCAATTCATGTTCGTGAATGGTCAAATAAGTTATTCTACAGAATAAGGTAGTGTTTATCTGACCTATGTATGAACAGGATTGGTGTGAAACATGGAAATACAATGTCACAAGAGTGAAAATATTCTAAGCACACATTAGTTTCTATTTATATTGATTAACAAAATTATATTAAAGTTTTCACATGAAATCCTAATGTGTTTGTCACATTCATTTTACTGTTTTGTATATGTAAATAATATTTTCCTTCATATTCTATCTATCTATCCTTCATATTCTATCTATCTATTTTCCTTCATATTCTATCTATCTATCTATCTATCTATCTATCTATCTATCTATCTATCTATCTATCTATCTTTTTTTTTTTTTTTTTTTTTTTGGTAATACCTGTTTTTACGTATGTAGCTGTTTTTGGCAAAACATGTATGCGGTTATGCCGACATTACTCATATCTGTCTCATTCTGGTAATATCCATATGTGCTCATATGGTTGGTTTTATCTATCTATCTATCTATCTATCTATCTATCTATCTATCTATCTATAGTTGCAAATACGAAATGAATTATTTATTTTGTTGGCCCTGGTTGAAATAGACAAGAGAAAAATGTAACTCACACAGAAGTATTTTTTTTTACGCAAGACAGCCAACATTTATTGAAGAATGGTCTATGATTAATAGTTATTGTTGTACAAGGAAATATATTCTCGGCCTTTGTGTAGAAATATGTATTATTTCTATGTACAAATATAAAGACATTTGCGTTAATGTTGAAAACAAGATACGCAATTACTGATGAAAGCAGTGAACAATTAAAAACGAGCAGTAATTTTCGTAAAAGAAAATGAATGAAACTAGTTCCGTTTTAACAGTTGGCTAATATGAATCTTAATCACAACGAAACGAAGTGTTTTCTGAAAAAAACAAACCTATCTATCTATCTATCTATCTATCTATCTATATATATATATATATATATATCGTTGAATAAACCAACATTTTTAACTATCGTTTCGTCTTTTTTAATGTTAATTTAAGCTGCTGTCAATGTATGCATTTATCACTAAGAATGAATATGTATGTATATATCGATATATTATATATATTGTGAGTATTACAATGTACAGAAGGGTTTTAGAACGGCTCAATATGACTTGTTGCTATAAGTTAATTTGCTGCAAAAAATTATCTTTTAATGAAGATCGAATACTTTAAAGTTAATATTGCTCATTGTGGAAATAATGATATTAATTCTCTTTTATTTATTATCAACTCAGCAATTATCATATTTACTGCTGACCACAAGATAACACATGGTAAGAAAGTTTTTTTTTATTATAACGCAGACTACGAGTTATCTCATGCTTAGCGTTTTCTGATACATTTTCATCTGCCGACGCCAATAACGAGTTTATTCGCAAAGATATGTTTTAGTGTGAAAACAATGTTACGACTAAGCTCAATTGATTGATTGATCCGTTTGCTAAGGATTATCAACCCTTTGCAGGTTATTTAAATCCAGAAAATATTTTTAGATTGTGAGTCTTACGGATTATCCATAACTGGAGCGGCCAGTAGTGGATTCATATTTTTCTCAATGGTATTTGCGTGTAAGTGCATATAATGAACAGAACCGGAATTGGAACTCGGCTCTCCGATTAACAATTCCCAGCCTTTATCTATTACATCAACTGAACATCCAGGCTTACAGCACCTGGTATTCTCAAGCAGTCACCCATCTAGGTACTGACCAGGCTCGATGTTGCTTAACCTCAGTGATCGTGTTGGGGACCGGTGGTTCAACGTGATGTTGCCAGTTGAAGCCATAAATCAACTCATAAAAATCCTTTATTGCCTAAGTTGGTTATTATAAAATTGATGTTTAAAGTCAAATTTCGCTATTGACCGCTGGCAGTCAAGGTGTTAAATTGTGGTATATTAGAGAGAGAGACTAAATTGAAAACTAAATTTGGAATCCTGAGTCTTGTGTTCAATTTAGTTTGCTTTCTGCATACGACTATTAAATTATTTCAATTAAAGAAGAATTACTTTTTAACAAAATCTCATACTTAAATTAAATATGCTAACTATACCGCGTGAATTTTACCTTATAATATCTATTTTATTAAAATATATGCCAACCGCTTATTTGTTAATGCAAGATTTTCTTATTCAACGAGAGAATCATTTATTTTAATGAGAGTAAATATATAACATTATATTTATTTATTTACATTATTTACACTGTTCGGACTGTTGTCTTCATCTTTATTTCCACATACACGACGTTTCGGTATTTTTAGAGAATGTAAAAAATTTTCTCTGTTAATTTGCTTGTATCAGACGAAGCAAACATTCTTATTTGAATCAAAATTGAGAGATGATTGTACTTCAAGATTCCTCCAGTGCAAAACATTCGTGTACAAAATTTAAGAAAACCTCAAAATCTATCACTGTGACCCGCAATTTTCTTTTGTTAATCCTGACCTTTATGGCTAAGCAGACTAGACAATGAATTGTAAGAGATGCTCTAGAAATTCAGGTGTTCAGAATAATTGCACAGACAATAAGCCAAGTACATAAAGTATAGACATCTTTAGTACTGATGCAAGCTCAGCTAAAACTGTGTTTACGTTAACGTCTCAGAGAAACAAGACACCAATGGACAAAGAAAGATAATCTTCTAAGAACATTCTGACCCGCAGAATATCATTTTGATAGAGAAAAAGCGCTTCAGTCTTGACTAGTCTGACTTGTTTTAGTCTGATCTATGATGAGAAATACTGAAATGTTTTGCTAGTAGGTTTAGTGGTGGAGGAATTATGGGATAGCTGGATTTATTGGTGTGAGCTACGGAATCTAGTCAACGTCAAGAAAATTTTGACAGCATTCGAGTAATAAGATATATTAGAAAACAATTTGATCACAAAGCTATCAAGAAATAAAGGAGAAGAAATAAAGTTAATTTTTCAGAGAAACAATGCAAATTGCCTTCTATAAAACTGTTTCGTACTTCTGTAATTATTTTTGATTTGTACTGAAATGACCTTTCTTGTAACTAAACTTTAGTTACATATTAAATGTTTAGATGATCATGGCAAGACTGCATTCCACAGGTTCACTGGAAACATCCAAGAATACACACACGCAAAGTCAAAACAGACTATCGTGGATCAATACGAAAAAGTACTTGAATATATACCCTCTAAATTAGCAAACTCGACGGCAAATAATGACTGAGATTTTGAAGCCAAAAGGTGCAGACGTAAAATATTTGATGTTTGGTTTAAAAAACGTCTTGATTTTTTATCGGATTGAGTCATATGAATGGGGGATCAGTTGTAATGACGTATGTATCCTCCTAACTAATAATCGTATGTGAAAGTTAAAAAGAAATTTGGAGTACTTAACATACGATAATGTTCAACATAAAATGAACTGAAATGACAAGGATAAATTTCCACAAATGACTCAATCAGCTGAGCACCAAAGAAGAATGGTAATATCGTGTGTGTGGTCAGACCGTCCAGATATTATTTATATCTAGTTCTTAAAACGCAATGAAACGTTTACATTTATATGTCTAAACTAGACTTTCTGTAATGAAAACCGGATTCAAGAGTTCGTCAAAAGCATTTTTGAATGAAAACCTGTGGGATTTTACGCAGGAGGTTTTGAAGAACCGCCTAATGTAAATAATGATGACTATATGCATTTATTTTAGATTAAAGTTGATAAACATAACCGGAAATTATTTATGACTCAGTCTAATAGTTACGAGATATCTGTTTTTCAGGATTCCATAAAAATGCTCCTAACATGAATAGTAAAAATAAAATATATATATATATATATATATATATATATATATATATATATATATATATATATATATATATATATATTCAATAATTGAGACGCATTATATCTATTTGTTTTAGTTTTAATCCTTTTAATCTACGGATTAATTTCTTGGTGAATCTAAAAAATTGATAAAAAAAAATACCAAAATTTATTTCAAATAATTTTTATTTTCCCAAGTACTTTCAATCTCATCCGAGGGGTTAATATATGTATACAGTAGCTCCGTAATTTCAAAATAATTTTTTCACTGTTCGTTTTCACTACAGCATTTCAACTTTTCATTTATGCAAGAATTATGTACCTTTTGAATTTTTTTTTTTTAAAAGAAACAAATCTTTAATTATAATATTTTAATTTAGTATATTTATATAAAACTTTACTGCTACAATGATTTAAGAACTTTGTTACTGTTGAAACTTGACTAATGCATGGAATAATAATGCAACACAAAATGTACTTAGAACAAAATGTATTGAAACAAGAAAGTGTACACAATATTTACATACAGTCTTTTGTATATTCATGGTAAGACCGTTCCTGGAGAATGTGTTGACTCAGTCGTAGTCGGGCAGAGTCTCTGGTTGAATCTCTTGATTCCTCCCTCTCTTCCCGGTACCAACCATATTTATATGGTCGGTACTCCACTATGCAAATTAGGTGGATCCTACCACAACAGTTACTATACTCCTAGTAGACTTTATTTATTTTTGGCCGCAATTCTCTTATATAAAGTGATTACAGAATTTTAAGTGTTTGCTTATTATTATTGTGATGAATTACTAATGTATTTTCAACTAATAACAGTCTAAACTGTGAATGTGGACATGACTATAAAAATAGCATATACGTACAATTTCTTAGGAATTGGTTGTATGCAATAGACAGTTTAGATATTTCTGAATGGGTACACCACCAAATCAAGTGCATTGACAAGGATGGAGATTAAATCAAAAAATAAACTTGTTTTGTGCAAAATATCATCATTTGACTAAGGACATATTGATCTGCATTTGCTTATCATTTACATTAATAGTAATATCCCAGTGGTCGCATGAGCGAAACCGTCTAGAGTTCCAACTCCTGTATGGCTACCCATGGCGAGGAGGAGGGACAGATTGAACGCGTTCAACTCTGGATGATCTAAACGGCTGAATAGGCAAAGATCTACACTATTTCAAAAACCAAACCAGTGAAAGAGTGTGGAGCATGTCGGGCTGACGTAACCAAGGTGACAGAACAAACATCTGAGAGATCGATTCAATCAGGTTTGACAGAATTTTCCTATCTCAATCCTCTTTGTGCATCCAGGTTCGCTTCTCTCCAAGTGTGTCGGTCTCTCCGTTTGCGCAGTGTTGTTCAACAAAATCAAAACTCTATTCGATTCACAGCCATCTCCGCCACCGAGAGAGGATGACGGTCCCGATGTTCGGATGCGAGCGAGTGCCGACGAATGTGTTTAACATTTCCATTTTACAATAAAGACAGAAAGTCGACTAATGCTCGCCAAGACTAAATAAATTCTGCAGGTGAGGACAGAAGAGAACATATCGCAATATTTTGGCTCCAACATAGACTTTCTAATGTAAAGTTCAATGAATGTGCGTTTGTGAAATTTCAAATAAAATGTTTATTATATGAAACATTATATTTTCTAATCAATTATAGCGTTAAATTGAACTCCGACCGAAAATACTAAAGTGCATACATCGAGAGAATATATTGAGCAGAAATGTACGTGCATAATTTTCTGATGATAGTGTTATCTATATTTTGATAAAGGAAGACATCAAATATTCATTTACGTTATGCTCTCTCTCTCTCTCTCTTCCGCTATCAATCTATTCCTATGTCTGCCTCTCTTTCTCACCCCCTCTCACCCTATATATATATATATATATATATATATATATATATATATTTATATATATATATGTGTGTATATATATATATATATATATATATATATATATATATATATGTAATATTTGTAATCACTATGGAACTCTTTCAGCCATTACTATTCGCGAAAGTTCCTTTTTCACAGTAAACAGCCATTATCGTCTGACCCTTTTCCCCTCGTTTTTCAAGCCACTTGCTTTTCCTGCAGGCAACGAAACTCGTCCCTTCTTTTGTCGCCATTTTCCCGTTTTCCCTGGGGGCCATTAAATCGACAAGTCACGGCTTCTTTTCCCATTTTCTAGGAGGAATCTGAACCTGTTGCCGAAGACAAGCCTCCTCTCTACATCAGGTTGCGATGTGGAAATATTTTCTCAAGTGATAAGTGCCTGTAAATAGCGCCGAACTTACAAATAACTATATAGCGGTCGATGGGTCTCTGTCAGCCGTTCTTTCGTTTTGTCCATCCGTCCGTAAGTATCTCTGTCTATTTGTCTGTGTATTGCGGTGTTTCTGGCTGCAGGGAGTTCTAATAATCAAGCCACTTTATCCGCTTCAATGTTTCTACTCCGTTGATATGACAGCCTCTCGTTTTGTATTTGGCAACCCTTCTGCTTCGGTCTTAGCAGCATTACCCTTTTCCATATGCATTATTATTATTACTATTATTACTATTATTATTTAATGTATGGTGTTGTTTTTGTTAGCTTCCTTTATTTCCTTGCATTTTTTTTTGTTGTCTCCTACTCTGTTATTTTATGTGTATTCATCTCTTCCTCCCTATTTCGAACTTTTCGACAAGTCACCGTGTCTCTTTTAGATATTAACAATCTCATCATCTGTTTCTTTATTTCTGTTTTCCATTGTGTCAGTCTCCATTACTTCTTTCTCTATTTAATATCACATAACTCTTTACCCACAATTTTCCGTTTTGTATCCCATTGGATTTCATTTCTGCTCTTTTTGCACGCTTTCTTTTTTGTATTTTCATTTCTTTCTTTCTCTCCCCTTCCTTATCTTTCTCCCCACCCCCTCTCTCTCTCCCTTCCTCTATCTCTGTCTCTGTCTGTCTGTCTCTCTCTCTCCGTCTCTCTCTCTCTCTATATATATATATATTCCATTCTCTAATTGTCTGTATTTTTTGCGTCTGTCTGTCTGTCTGTCTGTCTGTCTGTCTCTCTCTCTCTCTCTCTCTATATATATATATATATATATATATATATATATATTCCATTCTCTAATTGTATGTATTTTTTTGCTTCCTTTTTTTCTCTCTCATAATTTACTCCCATCATTCTCCACAACGCATTTTACCCACATTCTCTTTCAGAGATCTGTGTACTTTTCCTTCCTTTCATTTTTCTTCCTCGACATTGGCCGACTCTCCATGACTCAGGTAGATTATTTATGCATAGGCTTTCCGGCAAGAATCGTTAGATCTTGCCACCCTGACTCACTCCAACTAATAGACTTTATCTGCATAGCTCACTGCCTGTATGTTTTTGGCTTTGGCTTTCCTTTTTATTATGAACTTTGTACATTTTTGTGCCTTTCTTGGCTTGTGTATGCATAAGCTAAAATGCAGACCTTTCTCACTTTTGGACCATGTCCTCCTCATTCTCTCACCCTTTCTCATCTAATAGACTAGAATTTCCTGATATTTTCATCTAATATCCTTCTTGTCATTGTCTTCTTACAATGGATGCATATACGCAATATTTATACACTTAAATAAATATGTAACTGTTTACGCACAATAAATATATGTTCATTCTTTCGTGTTTGTTTTGTTTTTCAGCCAATCTATCTATCTATCTATCTATCTATCTATCTATCTATCTATCTATCTATCTATCACTTTTTAATAGGCTCTCGTATACATACAGACATACATCTATACACAAAACATACACACATAAACACTCATATATATATATATATATATATATATATATATATATATATATATGTATGAGACGCTGTTAAAAAATGTATTGTCTCAACTGCGAAGAAATTCCCTCACAACTACTGATGATTGGTCATTTGCTTAGAATTTGTTTGCCAAGTGGATAAATCTTTTCAGCAAGCCTCATATATATATATATATATATATATATATATATATATATATATATATATATATATATATATATATATATATATATTATATTAATAAATATATACCTAAATTCGTAGTGCAACTAAAAGTTTCTTGGTTTTACCAACTCATTAGGCACGAACTATTACGGCATTTTTTTTCTTTTTAAATATAATCAAAATTAATATAAACTTAATATATTATTAGGGTGTAAATACAAAATGAAGAGTGTAGGTAATGGGGGGGGGCTATTGTAAACGGAAAGAAAAATATGTAAGCTTAAAGTTTAAAAGAGGAACGTCAGATAACTCAAGTATTAATAGATGTTAAAATGGTTAAAGGGGGGGATAATCAATATGTAACCTAAAATATGTAATGGGCATGTGATATTTGCATAATTTATCTATCCAAAATTAATATATTTCAAGATATATTTTTTCTGTGATTACAAGCTAACATGAGTTCATTTCGTTTATTAAGTACATTTTGTTCATTATTATTTTTGAGGATGAATCTTTTCCAACTAACACTGGTTTCATCGGTCGCCGCTGCTGGAAAAGGGTGTAGATTTGGCGACTAAATTCCAATTTACTACCGGTGTATAGTCATCTAGAAAAATTGTGAGACTGCAGTGGTATTTGAATATTGCTTATTGTTAAAAGTCATTTTATAGTGATAATGTCGGATTTTCCAGTGGTTGGCTGTGGAACCGAAATAAAATTTTGTCTCGCCATTATGTTTAATGCTAGCCTTGTAGATGGCGCCTTTATGCATACATTTAGGATTTATTGAACAGTTAATTACACTTTTTCTGTGTTAATATTGTTGTTGGGGTTGTTTAAATATTTGTTTAATGTTACATTATTATGCTGTTCTATATGTTGCTCAGTGTTTTTGGTGCAGCTGTAACTAATCCTAATATTGTTCTTATTGAAGATTTTGTTGAGTAAAGGGTTATGGTTGAAATGTTTGTGGATTAAATTTAGTAAAATCCTACCGATGTTGGTTTTGACATTACTGCTAAGAGGTGGGTTGAACCAATCTATGTTGCGTTTTTTTATTCTTATGTTTATTATTGGCATTCTTACTAATGTTTGAAATGTATTCTAGTTTAACGTTGTGTTTGCTTTTATTTAGTGCATTTGTCAAAAATAATTTTGTTGCTAGAGTTAGTTGACAGTCTGTGTTGTACATATTTGTGCAAGATATTTAAAATTCCAGGTGGGTGGTTGGATTCTTTGCTAATGTATTTATAGTTATTAAGCTCTCTAGTATATGGCATGTGTACTTATCTGGATAGAACGAAAGTAATATCTAAAAAGTTGATTACCTTGGCGTTGGTGTTAGTGGTTATATGCAGTCCATGATCCTTGAAGAATTTAATAAGTTGTTTCCTAAATCGGTCTGTTTGTTGTGAATTGATGCTAAGTGGGAGGATAAATCCGTCGTCTTTGGACAGACCAATGTTCTTACTATCGAAAGTGTATACCTAAGTCTCCACGGTAGCAGAATGCCAGCCAATTCGGAAGTTCCTGCGGAGTCGAACGCTCTCATCGCTATAGAGAAGTTTGGATTGTCTTTTTTTTGGTGCACATAGAAACATCGGAATATAGAATGGGTTTCTGGGTTTGCTTAATGTTGTGTTTACACCTTATATTAAATTAAGTAAATATTTATTCGCTTACCTGTCTATGCACGCTAACGCACGTATATACATTTGCTAATATTTAATTATTTGGTTTATATCAAGATTTATGCCTATTTATATGTATGTGCGTATATATATATATATATATATATATATATATATATATATTAAATTAAAAAAATAACACTTTAAGCATATGCTTAATACGGCTCGTCAAAAATGTGTAAATTTCTTTTCATTTTTCGTTTCAACCTTTGGAAGTAAAGTCTGATGATCCGCAGTCCTTTAAAAGGGCTGTGATGAAATAATTTATTACATGGAACCTTAAAGTGGTCTGTTTTTATTTAAATTATTTGCTCTGGATTTACATTGAGCTCTCTGGATTTTATCCTCCTTGGGTCTACCCATACGGATTACTTAGTTTTCCATAAACTAAATATATATATATATATATATATATATATATATATATATATATATATATATATATATAGTATCTTAAAATGAATTACACACGCACAGTGAGCGAGTGAAAGAGAGAAAGAAAGAGAGAGAGAGAGAGATGATGATGATTACGATGCGTATGTTATATTTTAAATTTATTCCACCTTCTACAACTTCTTAATAAGTTCCAATTTGTCATCAATACTAAGATTAGTACGCTTTCTTTTCTCACCTCTGTTACGATTTGATGCCATAGCAAAGGGCATGACAAAATATAATGCTGTGTACTGAACCAAAATCAGTATAAAATGTTCAAGAGACGATGCATGTGGGTACACGACGAGCGGTCAATTACACAATAGAGGCTATTCCCAGAAATACTAGTCTGTATCAGTTGATTGCGCCAGGAAACAACAGCGGCCAATTCTGGAACTAACGGACTTTGCTCGCTACCGCTGGGTGTTTTGCGTTCCATCCGGAAACTAGAATTTCTGCAGATTTTGTCCGTTAAATCCGGAGTCCGTTGGTTCCGAGACCGTTGATTCGAGGTTTTACAATATATATAAACATACATACAAGAGGAAAAACTATTCTTAGCCACGAAAGAATAGTTTTTCCTCTTGTTTTTTTTTATACATCTCTTTCTATCTATCCCCATATATATATATATATATATATATGTGTGTGTGTGTGTGTGTGTGTGTGTGTGTGTGTGTGTGTGTGTGCGTGCATAAAATGTATCGGGACTGGTATTTTAAAAAGAATAATGTACTACTTGTCAAAATCTCCTTCGAAATAATCCCCCTGAAGGCACATATTCCATCCATTGATGGAAGCATTCGTGGAACACCTTTTTTCGGATAGCGTCGCATTCTCTTGGATTTTCACGATGACTTGAAATCTTATTCCTTTCAAATGGGATTTGATTTTTAAGATGAAAAAGTTGCAAGAGGCAAAATCTGGAGAAGATGGTATCTGTCGGTCCTGGAGAATGATGATCTTGGCCAAAAACTGCTACACAAGCAATAGTCAACGATGGAATCTTTGTGGTGTGGTGAGATGATCACGCTCTATATACACACTTTGTTTCCAAGCACTGCTATAAACAACGACAGAGAGTGAGAACTCTATATCTTAACGTGTATGTGCAGCAGAAGTCTGACTGTGCTAAGCGGTTTCATTCTGTGTAATTATATTCTTATGTAAGTACAGATAATTTTGAAGGAAGCATTTATCAAGTTAATAATGTTTCACTTTTATTAAAGTAACATCAGAGATATTCAGTTTTTTTTTATTTTTGTGTTGATTTGACTTCATTGGTTAATCAGGTTTCACGGGCATTTGATTTGTTAAACAACATTCGTATAATTAATGCCGTTTCGAATTCAAGGAGAGACGACGCATAGTTTCTGATACATATTTGATCTGTATTTGATACCAATTCATATATATATATATATATATTTTGAACAATAAGAAAATTAAAAATTAAAATCATTAGACACACTGGGTTGTAGATTAATATTCTTTCGTTTTTTTATTATTATTATTATTCCATTTAGATTCCTCGACTAGTTTCGACCGAAATGGCCATCATCGGGAGGCGAAATATTTCTGCTTGCTGTTGGCAAGGAACTACAGAAATGAAGTATATATATATATATATATATATATATATATATATATATATATATATATATATATATATATAGAGAGAGAGAGAGAGAGAGAGAGAGAGGGATAGGGGGGAGTGCGATGGATAAATTGTCGTCTAAATTACGCAAAAATAACAACATTGACATCTCCTTTTAACAGATATATTTACTAAAATTACACAAAAATATCTTGGAATACACAATTTATTAAATAAAATCTCCATTAGCTTTAAACTCGGCCTCCAGACGACTTCAGAATCGCCTTCATCTCTTCTGAATGTTCTCCATATTTAAGGCGGTGAAAATCTTCCAGACGGTCTTGATGTTTAAGTCGTTGAATGCTGCTATAACCCTTGCCTTCAGTTCATCTTTTGTGTGATAAGGAGTTTTGTTGGTCTCTCGCTCAACTGTGCCTCACACATAACCAAGGGTGTTGCAGTCTGGGGAGTTATGTGGCCAGATACAAGGAGTGAAGGAAATTGTTTGACAGTTAAGACTGGGGTCTCCTGCTTGTGTGGCTTGGTACAGAGTCCTTTTGCCACACATAGCGTCTTCCAGCAGCACTAAGCCTCAAGTATTGAGTCTGAGGCACTGTATGAAGATGAATGGAGGCATAACCACACCATCAGTAGTAATCACTCCAAACACCATGATGTAGACTGGATATATCATCCAACTCTTTCTGAATCCTTTGTATTGTCCTCAAATTGACACCCAACAACTATGAAATGTTCATATTGGAGCAGTAGAGCATGTCGTTTCTAAATTTCTGTCGGCGTTAATATTGCATCATGGTTCTTTTTTTTCTCACAGACGTTGACCAACTGAGCCAAGTATACTGGGCAGTCGACAAAATCAAAAACAACGCGCATGCGCGAAATTAAAAAATATAAAATGGTGACAATTCATCCATCGGACCCAATATATATATATATTTCATTCTTTTCTCTTATTTAAACCCCTCCTCCCATATCTCCTAAAATTCTCTCCGTTAAGGTTTAATCTCCCTCCTCTTCATACTCACACTCT